TCTATTGAAAATGATATAGAGTATGGAATTTTTGAAAAACTTTGTATTATTGAATATGAACTAAGTTGTATAAATAATGCAAAGCTACCATGAATAAAATCTGAGACAGAGACTAATTCATCCAGCTCTGATTCAGAATCCACGGGTTCAGACTGGTATGATCTCAATCTGATAAAATCCCGAAAGAATCGTGTCCGTATTACAAAGAAAAAGATTGTCTCTCCTATCTGAAAACATCATAAAAATAAGCCAATTAGAATGAAGTAATCGTTAAACCAGGAAATTATCATAAGTAGGATCAACATAGAAGTTCATGTAACATACATAATTGCCTACTGTATTAAATAAATAATCATCATCCAAGGTGTGTAAGAGACCTCTGGATCTCGCTATGTCTGGCTAAAAATTTGTACGAATTGAGTATGAATTTCTTCTCATTCTTTCATCAGATCGTCTAGCCATGTAGTACTTAAACCACTCTTTAATATACTGCGACGTAATACCTCTTCTCTGATTAGCCTACCCCGATCTGTTAAAAATTTATGATATTTTCTAGTATCTTCCTGCCTTTCTATTCCACCACGATAGAATCGTATATCTCTTTCTAAGTTATCGCGGAAGCATCTCATAGTCCACTTATCTTTCTCAGCCTTAGTAATGACCGAAAATTTCTCGGAATCAAGGCCATTTTCAACAGCATATTGATAAAGACATTCCATCTTATTTGGATTAGTCCTAGGAATTGGTTGACGAGATGATGTAGATGAATTCTTCGAACTGATTTTTTTGGAAGCATCTGAAGAATTGCAAGAGGTAGATATATGTGCGTGACAATTTGTCACGCTGATCACTTTTATTTCGGAACTCTGTGCGTGGCAACTCATATCAGTTGTCTTGGAAAAATCATTTATAATATTTTGAATTTGAATATCCTTTAAACTTGAAATAGCACTTGCGCTGTAAGTTATTTGACTAATTTTATCTATTCCTATTCCTTCGTATAACACATAGACTTTTTTTGCTCTGGAAGTTATTTTACGCAAGTTTACATCAGTAATATCAGGAAGAAGTGATTTGATTTCATTATACACTATTGTTCTTGCAGATTGGTCATCAATATATACTTTAGC